CCATAATGCATGGGGGGCTCTGCCATGAGCCCCTCTTTGCTTCCCCCATGGGTGCCCCACCCGGGCCAGCTCCAGCCCTTTAAGAAAAAAAAAAGCTGAGGAAAACCCTGGGACTCACTGCTCCTGTGGTGGCCTCGAGGGCTCGTGTAGAGCCCCCCACATGGTGCAGGGCAGCGGGGGGCAGCAGGGATCGCCCCCCCCCCACACCGGCAGAAGTGGCGAGTCTGGGGGCTTTTTTGTTTTGTTTTTTTTCTTAAAGGGCCGGAGCTGGCCCAGGCAGGACCAGTGAGGGGGCTGGGGGAGCGTCCCCCATGCAGCATGGGGCAGTGGGGAGCAGCGGGGATCACCCCCTGCCCAGCGGCACCCAGTGAGTCAGGGCTTTTTGTTTTAATGAGTGCCGGGAGCATTGCTGGGCTGAGAGGGGGTGGGGGGTGAGCCTGGCCTGCCCGGCCTGATTCGCTGCTGCCGAATCTCCGAATCAGATTTGGCCAAATGGAATCGGGACAGTGATTCGAGTCAGTGTTCCCCGAATCAGCCAAATCCGAATCCAAAGCGAATACTAGCTGCTTCGCACAGGCCTAGTCAGAGTCCCGTGCGCCACACACAATCCTATCCCTGATTAGGGAGTCTTTTATGTCTCCAAAGTTACATGAGGATGCCAGAGTTGTCAGTGCTGTGATACAGGCCTCTATTCCTTCCTCTTCCTTTTGTTTTCTGGTGAAAAATTGATAATCTCTCTACAGTTTCATTTTTCCTGGGGTCACGGTATGCATCAAACGCTTCTATTAACTATTCTAGCGGGTCCGGGTTCCCTGGCATCGGTGTCACACTTACTTCACAGCCTTTTTCCCCCCCAGCTAGATAGTAAAACAGCTTTACCTTCATTTGCTCTTCCTTATCAGCCATGGTTAACTCCGCGTACAAACTGAATTCTTGCTTCTATTGTGTCCATGGCTGTGCCAGGCTCTTTGTGTTGAAATCCAGCTGTCCTGGGGGCTTCAGTCCCTCCATGCTTCTCGCAATCTGTCTGAATCACTGGTGGGGCCCAGGTTGCTCTCTTCTCTTGGGCTTCCTCACAGGATTTCTGCCGCCACCATGTTTCATGTGAGCCTGTCTGGGTAATCGAGGAACAGCTCCCTACTTAATATTAACAGTGTCTTTATTACAGCAGTTTCTTACAGAGCTGCTACAGGGCCTGCTGTTCTCCCCCAGCCTCTCTACCTCCTTCAGACTCCTCCTTTCTGCTGCTGCTGGTTTTGCCTGAGATCCACACATCTTGTTACACCTTCCAAAAAAAACAGTGCAGCTCACAGTTTTATTCAAATGGCCCAGTGAACAGCCAGCAGATAGCAACTCTGCAGGTATCCATTCAAACTAGCAAGTCAAAGGGCCTGCAGCCTTGTAGGCAGAACCTTGAACCATCCGGGTCCCACGGTTTGGGTTGTTTGAATACTTACTCTCTCTGGCGTTAGCATGAACCACAGTTGAAATCAATGGGAAATCAACTGAACATGTTAGAGAATAACTAAAGCACAAAGACAATCACCTTTTGCACTTGAAAATAATTGGGTTGTACTAGGTGGCTGGGGTAGAAAGCATAATCTATGCCAGTTTAATGAATTTGCTTATTTTCTCTCTATAAGAAGTTGCTGTCCATTCCTATTTCCATCAAAGGGGCCCTCCTATTCAATGACAGGATTGCAAAATCCTTCTTTGAGTTACAGGGCTAGAATGAATTTATTCTTGAAGTGCAATTATGTCGAGCATTTTAGTTACGTGCTCAAAAAACAAGGCTTCTCAGAGCTACCTGAATCTCCCAAATCCAGGCAAAAGTTGAGGGGAGCTTCAGTCTCATTCAAGTAAGCTCTGTTGTACCCCACTGAAACCACATCAATTTGGGGCTGAGGAAAGAGGATCTGCAGAGAGCCGAGTTATTCATGTCATTGTGGGAATCACTGGGTGAAATCACCTGGTCTGCACAAGACAAGACAATCACTGCTTTTCCCTCATGGTCTTAACATTTATGAAGAGATCAAGCAATACACATACTGAAGAAAACCCCATCTTATTAAGCAAACATTATAAACCACCTACTTAGAAGAAAAACAGGGCTGGAAGCTCCCAGACTATGTTGTGGAAACACTGCACTGCAATCCCTTAAGTACAGTTTATCTGTGCTCGTCGGTAAGCCCCTTCTCCCTTCCACCGCTTCAAATTAGATCTGTGATGATCAGGTACAATAAAAGCAAAAGAAAACAAAAAAACCTCTATTATATTTCACTCGTGTCAGCACTTTGGTCTCACCTGTCGTAGGCGAGACTTCACCAGAGTTTGCCACTTGCATAGCACTTATTGTAATTGCACTGAATTTTTGCTTTCATTGGTATAACTTCCCCTCCCAACTCTGCACCTCTCCAAAGGATTTGAGGCTAACGTGAGACACAGCAGCTCCAGAGACAGCACCTGATGTTTTTGGCTGAAGGAGCTATTGTTTAAACCAAGGGGCCAACTACCAGTAGTGAAGACAGCACAGAAATGGCCAGAGGAGTTCTGCAGAAGCAAGATCTTGTAGTTGAGGCTCTGAGACGGAGGAGAATTGGGTTTTCCTCTTGTTTCCTTCACAGAATCACTGTGTGACCATGAACAAGTTGATTAGGATCTCTCTACTTCACTCCTCCACCTGTGAAAGTGGGAGAACACCCTCTTCCTCTTGGTTGTCTTGTGTTTTTAGATAACAAGAGCAACCATTGATAATGCTTGATGATGAGCCTTAGGTCTCTGCTTCCATATTCCAAGAGAACCCAGCTCCCTTTCTCTTGCACTTTCTCTATTAGCTATCAATGAGATTTGTGGCATGTAAGATCTTGGACTGCATGCTGACAGAAGAGCTGTAGCGTAGCAGTTCCCATATTCTTCAGGGTTACGTGCAGGATCCAGCATATGAGTTTGTAGCTGCAACTGGTGTTTCTTGGGCAGGGTAAAATCCCATCAAGAAATCAGCCTACCTCTTGGCACACACAGAGGTCAAGAAAGGGCTGGCAAAAGGAAAGCACACTTCCTTATGGTATTTTGGTTTTTCTAGGAAGAGTTCACCCATCAATGCTTGCAATGCATCATGAATTGAAAACGTGGAATTAGTTTGCTCCAAGGGAGAGAAGTCCAAGGCAACAAGTCTGAGATCTAACACCAAACCCCCCAAACTTCCCCAGAACCCAAATCCAGGGAGGGGTCCCCCCAGAGTGTTAGTTCAAGCCTCAGTCTAAATACTTGTCTTCATCTCCATCATTCATATTATTGTAACACTTACATATTCATTGTCCTAGGCTATACACACGTGGCACGAGAGAGTCACAGCCCAAGAGCCAGGCATCTAAATCCTCAGAGGATGGCTTGTTTCCTCACTTCATATAGAGGGGGAGCTGAGAGACTGACCCATGAAATGACTTGCTCAAGGTCACATGTGAGCTTGTGGCAGAACTGGGAATTGAGGCCAGATTGCCCAGGCCTCATTCAGCAACCTCCTCCTTGATGATAGTGCAAATTCAGATCTGCCTGATCCCCAGGCAAAAAAAGTCTGCTGCATTATTTAAGTGAAGACTTGTTTTCCCCTTTTCCCCTTTAAAATAGAAAAAGGACCAGGACCTTCTTCCTTAGCTTCAGGGATCTGTTAATTGGCTCCCCAGTAAAATTACAGAGAATCAGCTGCCTGATAATGATTGTAAATGACAGAGACTATCAGGTTTACCTTGTGATGTCCCTAGGGAGCTTGCAGTTAGTTTAGTCTGAACTCTGCGTCAGCTGTTCGGGTTCCTTTCTTCTCGGCATGCGGTGGCTGGACTCAAGCTGCAGTCTTTCAAACCTAATTAGTGTTAGGGGAAGAAGGAGGGGAAAAAAAAAAAGAAAGAAAACCTTCCTCTTCCTTTCCTCTACTGACTTTGTAATGCTTGCAGTGTAAGGACAGTGCCTGATTTATGGTGCAAGTTCATTTTGGGTTTTTATGTAGCATACCAATGTCTTCCATTGTGCTTGCAAGAAACGCACAGCTTAGTGTGCCAGTCTTTGAACTGCATCGTTCTTTCTTCTTCTGCATAGTAAAGAAGCACTAATTTCCTTAGATCTATTAGAGTTTGTAGGTTTATAATAAAATAGGATATAGTTAATTCCACACATTGCTCAGCTGAGAGCTGGAAACCTTCCAAGCACAGAGCAGACTTTCTTCCAGCCATGGTAGGGGGTGTTGTCAATAGAGTTAGTCAACAATGCTTTTAAGCCTTGAAATTTCAGTAATTTTTCAATTGTAAGACATCTCTCTCTCATCCCCGCCCAAAAAAGAGAAGACAACATTCCCTCCAAACGTTTTAACTGTAGAGCTGCTTGCCAGGTTAAACTGTTAATATACAATTTAAAAAAAGCATGTTCTGAAGGTTTAGATTGTGAAATAATTTGGGAATGTTTTGATTTAAAGTCACCATCCCCTTCCCAATTTTTTCTCTGCAATTACTAGCGTATCAGTCCCTCTGGGTCCAATCCTGTATCGCTGATATAAAGAGAGTTTTACCACTGACTTAAAGGTCCAGATCTTCACACCCATCTTACACAGTGGGGACAGACAGCAGTACTTTCCTGGATTTCTTCTGTGTCCTTAGCTCTGGGTAGGGATGGAAACTCTCACCTGCCTTAGCTTTTCTGTGATACCATGACTGCCCCGATAACTACAGGGAAGCACCTGTCCACTTGTCACTTGCAAAACAGTAATACCGGTGAGATATTTTTAAAGACACATGAGGAGCCAGGAGGCCAGTGACAAGGGAGAGTGAGATGTGTATGCCTAAGTCCCCCAAAGTCCCTTGAGAATCTCAAACTTTGTGCATCTGTAGCTGGCTTGTGTCAATATTTATATATTGCAAATTGCCTCTTACATCCATAAGAAATAGCTACCAGGAAACATTATTCTGGAGCCCTAGTAACCAACATATTCTGCTTTATTTGCAGAGAAAGGCTCATGCATTCACTTCCATGTCAGCCTTGGAGTAGTCCGTTGGGCTTGGCTGCCTGCTTGGGGGCAGAGCCTCTGCCCAGTCAGACAGGCTACTGGTTGTTGAGATGTTGAATGGGACAACACAAAAGAGCAGATCTGTAGGCAACATCTTGAAATTGTTCGGAGGCCGAGCAATCACACACCTGAAAAAACACCAGAAAATAAGAAACTAAATATTTTGTTGTGTCCTTTGGGCTTGTTTAAGGGACACAAACGATGGCAAAAGAACAGCAATCTTTTGCAAGGTTTAAGTGCACATGAGAAAATATCTTGAACAATTAAAGGGTGTATATTATAAGATACCATTTATAGGGCCTGGGTCCACAAACCATTGGAACAGATCACATTTTTTTTCACTGCTTGAAGTCTTTAAATCTAAAGACTTCGTGTCTACGAGTTTTGCTCCTGCTCAACCACAGGTTCTCAAGCTTATTGCAAGAATCAGAAAGCGGAAAAGGTCAGGTGTGTTTATTTGTAAAAAAAATAAATAAAAAAAAATGAAATACATGGACACAGGCAACAGCACTAACAGTACCCCACAGACTCTTTTCTAAGGACCATGGTTCACATGTAAAGACCCATTAAAAGAACTTACATCAGTTGTAACCACCGCCGGAGTTAGGCACGTCTAACAATCCCTTTTCAGGAGCTATCCCAAGCAATAGCAAGGACGCTCATCATGATTTAACCTTGGGAAGGGATCTGGGATATCAGTAAGTGTGGTCAGTGAGTCTTCAGGGAGGCATGTTGCTGGATTGGCAGGGGATGCTCACATTTGAGGTTAAAGTACACAGTTATAGTTGTAGGTCAAGACTAAGGGGTTATGACTGAGTCCTGTAAAGATTCCACCTGTAGCTTGGATGGGAGAAGCTGCCTGCCATGGGCATGCTTTTACACTTCCATTTGCAGGAGTGCTTCAAAATTTACTGTACCTCCTTGTCCGCAACTAAAAAAAAATGTGCTGTGTATATTATTGATGTATATAAGTTTTATCTGAACTATACTCCCCTGTTCTTGTACGGATTAGGCTCTTCTATGAGACGGTAGAGGCCAAAGCAAAGGATTCCAAACAAGTCTAATGCTTTGCAGAAAACATCTCCGAAACAGTCCTCCTGCAATTACACAACAACCAAAAAACCCCAACCAAAGTTGGAGGCAGTCAAGTCGGCTTTGCAACCCACTAGTGAGATTGCTCAAGAAGTACTTTTGGACTGTCATGATTTAGTATTTGCATGATGGTAACACATAGGTGTTCCACTTATGGACCAAGAACCCACCATCTTTGGCACTTGACAAGCTAAGGTCAAGGAGCTTGAGGAGCTAAGAGTCAAATTAATATGAAGTAAGGATACCTGACACTTGTAGCTATTTGAAGAAAACAGTTCCAGGCACAGATTCAGATCCAGTGTAAGGACTCTGCATTTTATACTGATCAGATCAGCTTACATCTCCACTAGTGTACATGTCAGTGATTGTGTTTCACAACCAGCAGCCAGTAAAAAGGCAAAGCCAAAAAATTAGGCTGTCATTCAGCAAAAGCTCTAAAACTTGATCGTGGGTTATGTACTCTGGGACTTATAGGGAGCCAGAATTTCAATATGGGATTAAAAGAGCCAGCACCCCTGCTAGGGAACAAGTGGCTCCAGGGATATGTGGCACTCTGCTGTACCCTTATAAAGCTTCCAAAGTGTTTTATAAAAAAGGAAGGAGGTTTCAGTCCTTACAAGATAATGTGGGACCAGTCACCACTGCTCAATTAAGGACTGTGTATGGGCAAGGTCCCCCAAGTACCTGAATTTCATTCATTCATTCCCATGCTTCATCTGGCTTTATTGTTTGCCTTGGTGACTCCATAAGTTATTGATTTTTTTTCACAGGGGTGGAAATAAATGGTGCTTTTTGCAGTGTATTGCCACATAACCCTCAAGCCAGCCTACACCAGCATGCAATATCACTTCAGAACATGTGGCGTAACACAAGGGTCTGAAGCAGCAGGGCATTATGCCCTGTGATACCAGTGTGATCCAAGTCAAGGGTATTTTGCATTTTAGTGACATTGTGGGTTGTCACTGGGTAAGCTGGCCAATTTGATGATAGCTGAAGAGCTGACCCATTGTTGCCAGCTAATTATAGAAGCTGGCATTAGACTGATAAGGCAGAGGAGATATTGACTGGCTGCACTTAGTAACAATTTCCCTAGTCAATGTGAGCCCATGAGATCTCTTATCCCATGAAACTTTCAGGTATAGGACCCATAACACAAAGATTAGGCTGATAACACTCACTGCTGACTGATCTTACCCACTGATGAAACAGTAACATGGGGCCTGGCTGTGCTCTCAACATGGGATAAGTCAAGTGGGACTCCACTGACTTCAGGGGAATTACTCCTGGCTTACACCAATGTTAGTGAGATGAGAACCCATCCTATAAACACAACTCTACAAACACTGTGATATAACTCACTGGGGAAACTGCTGCAAGTTCCTTCCACAGTGGCAAAAGAGCCAGCTTGCACCTCACCCTAGGTGCAACATATGATATGCTGTTGTCACTGGCACTCAGTTCATTCTTCTCTGCAAGCTGCTCCTCCAGCTCTGGGCTTGTCCCACCCGTCACCAGAGTCTGGAGCAAAGCTAAGACATGGTGGTTACAGTAGGTCTGGAAAGAAAAAGGCATGCACAAGTAAGAAAATCTGCAGGTTCAGAGGCACCTACAAAACTCAATTCACTCAACCTGAAAAGGAACGATGGGGTCACATCTATTGCACTTACTGAAACTGGGGAGGGTCTCTCTACAATGCATGCTTCAACTCTGTGTCTACAACTGATCTGGAGACGGTTACCCACAAAAACATTGCAATTGCAACACAGATATATTCTCAATTTTTGTTCTATATCTTCCTATGGAAGTACATCAGAAACAGACATTTCACAGAAGACTTTATTTGCACAAAATAACTATTTTTTTCATTTAAAAAAAGTTTCTGACAGCACGTTTTTGACCATCTCTAGCTTTGTCCATCCCAGCTCTAAGGGAGTCATGTAATAGGGTTTCTATTACTTGCCTCAGAAGACTTTGGGCATGTCTACACATGCTATTGATTCAAAGTAGCCTTACTGTGCAGTAAGCCCACAGGGGAGCATGTCTATACACGCTCCCTCTTGGAAGCAGATTTGCTCCCAATGGAAGCAGCCCGGTACAGGGCTGCTCCTGCCTGGCTCTGCCCCCCTGCAGCAGCCAGGGGGAGCTCCAGGCTCTACTCCTCCCCCTTCCCCCACCCCCATCAGGGGCTGGCAAGGGGCATGGAGTGGTCCCAATGGGCACAGGGCCAGGAGAGCTCGGCCAGCTGAAGTGGCAACTATCTCCTGGTCCTGTGCACACTGGGAGGGGACCTGATGTGCACGGGGCCAAGAGAGCAGGCAGAGCTCTCCTGGCCTTGTGCACATCTGGACACAGCTGCCAGCAAGCCCTCTGATGGACATGGGGTTTACTGGGACCTGTCCAGGGTGTGAAGCAGCTGTGGGCAAGCCTTCTGCCAGACACGGGGCACAGGGCTCGCAGGCAACTGCCCTGCTTGGCATGGAGTTGACTGGTCTGGGGAGGACAGGAGGGGATCTGGGAATCCAGCCCTCCCTGTCCCTTGGAGCAGCCAGCTCTGTGCTGTGTGGAGCTGGCTGCTCTAGGGAACGAGTTGAGGCTGGAAATCCAGCCTTTGCCTGTCCCGCCAGAACAACCAGCTCTGTGCAGTATGGAGCTGGATGCTCTGGGGGATAGACAAGGGCTGGATTTCAAGCCTCTGCTCACTCCCTAGAGCAGCCAGCTCTGCATGGGGAGCCAGGGACAGGGGGCAGAGAGCTCCCCACTTCTCACCCTGATCAGCTCCCAGCTCCTGGAGGGAGCCGAGAAGATGAGCAGCACCAGAACCATGGACAGAGAGCACCCTGTCCCCTGGGGCCCCCTGTTCGCTAGGCTGACCAGGAGCAAATTTGCTCTCAGCCAGCATCTACACGTTTTACTGTGCAGTATCTACTGCACAGTTAGGTTACTAGCTGTATTTATAGGTAGTTGCTAAATGCACAGTAGACTAATTTACTGCACAGTAAATGCAAGCATGTGTAGATGGTGATGCTTTACTGTGCGGTAGACTAATCTATTGTGCAGTGAAATGCCTCATGTAGACACACCCTTTGTTTGTTATCAGATGCCATTTGGGACTTTGAAAATCTCCTCCTGTAAGTCTCTTCTTGTCAGTCTAGTAGGCTGCACCACATTTTCTCATACTGAGCCAGTCTTTTCCGTCACTCAGTTTTATCTTTCCACCCTAGTTATTCCTCCTTATACTATCCTAAACAACCTTGCTTCCTCTTTTCTGTCCAGCAACTGCAAATAAATGTAATTACCGAAGCACACTGTAAAGGCCTCAGTTGGACTCTGGGCAGACCAACAGTGAGTGACAGCTTCTGCCCCAAATTGCTTATTGCCTAAATAGACAGGCCAGACACAGGGTGGGATGGGAAACAGAGGCATTAAAACATGGAGCACCTTGCCCTGGGTCATGCAGCAGGCCAGTGGCAAAGACAGGATGACAGCAAGTACCTTAGGATGGTAGTTGTGTTTTTTTAAGCTCTGCAGTGTTTTAGACTTGAGCCATTTCCTTTGAAAGGAGACCCATGAAGCTGGAACTGCCCCAGAGCTCTTAAAATATCTCCCAAGACTGGCGTTATACTGCATTCAATGAGTCTGTAGTCCAATCCGTGTAACACACAGCAGGCCTGATTCTACCCTGTCCTGCACTTTTGTTGTTATTTGATAAGTAGTGAGGGCATGGAAAAGGCTTACAAATGAGAATGGTAGCATTGGACACCTATTCTGCACAACTGTCAGTTGGTACAAGCAATTTAAGCAAGGAGCTGGAGTTTGCTACAGGAACTATTAAGCACACCCTAAAACATTAAAAAGACAAAGGTAGAAGAAAAAAAAAAGCCATGGAAACTTTTGCAAACCCCAGGAAAAAAATACTTGTCGTTCAAGTTCAAATTTGTTGCAAAGATATTAAGATTTTTCTTATTTTTATCCCAGCTTGTTCCTTCTATTCACACTCTCAATGCTTCTGCTGACTTATTTCCATTCTTCCTTTAAAGCTCATTTTCCATAGAGAACAACCTAGTGGAATCTGTCACCTGCATTCTCATGAGGAAAGAAACTAAACAAGCTGTAGAGAAGGAATGGTGTTACTAAATCCAAGCTAAACTTAAATCTGCTTAAGAACATATGACCACGTTGTCGGGCAAAAGGGTATAATGCTGTTAGAGTAATTCTCAGCCTTTTAAAGTAAGGCGCTATAGTCTGGTGTTATCCAGAAGTGATACTGCTCCAGGGGAATCTGCACTTTACATATTTAACTGAAGCGTGCTGAGCTCTTTAACATATCATTGCTGTACTTTTTGACATCAAAAGGATTGTATTTCCATACTTGGGTGAATTAATAGGATTTGCGTGTCACCCTCATTCTGTACTTTCGTTGCCGAGTTATACTGCAGAAGTTTGAAAGAGAAAAAACAACTAGAAATGTCTAAGACAGAGTGTGTGTATGTGTGTGTATGCATGTGTAGGCAAGATTTCAATACATATTAAATAGGTCTCCAAGCTAACGTTAAAGGAGCCAGGTTCTTACAATGTACAGGAGAAACATTACCAGCTTTGCTATGTGTTATTCAGTTACTGCTTGAAGGATAGAGATTCCCCTGGACACCACCGCACACATGACGGACGACTGTGAATCCCCATACTTCTACGGCTGTGCCAGTAAAGCCCACTGACTTCATGTCGAGAGCTGTGTCTTTGGAAAACTCAACTGGAAGTGTGGAGCACTTGAAAATCTGGCCCCTTTTTGACTTGCTCATGACCAAGCCAAAAATGCATGATAGGACCTGAATTCAGTCCCAGGCTCTACTTCAAGACCACAGGACTGTTCTTTTCTTTCTTTTTGCATCATTTCTTTTCTGCCTAGAGAAACATCCAGAATCAGACTAGAATAAAAGCTGATTCTGCTTATGACTTCCAAGGAAGCTATATTGTATTTTCCAGAACATACAGCAACTGCTTTTGCACCACACCAGCATCTATCACCATCTTTTTCCAGTTACAGGAAAACACTGGCTCTGAGGTAACCTCAGAAAACACAAGGATATTCAGTAGATCCTAATAATGATCAGAAAGCTGAAATGATATTTTATGGCTGAACTCCTCCTTCGTTTCTTTATTCTCCTTTACTAGTCTTATTTTACCAGTCTCCCTCCAGACAGTGCAGCTGCTAAACAACATCTCGTCTCTTTTTCTCCTTCCCCATACTTACGGACTAGCTAACATCTATCCAAAAGTGCTCTAAAAGCTGAGCTGAGAGTTCATCATTCCTCGACAGACCTGGGATCTTAAGTCTGAGTGAAATTTTATCCTTTAAGACAAGTCATGCTACATCTCAAGTTACTTTTACAGTTGACACTAGCAGTCATTAATTACAGTCAGGCTGATTGACATATCAGTGACTAGCAGAAATATAATACTTTCCCTAACACTGAAGCCTTCTCAAGAAAGCGTAACTGGACTTGACACTCTTATTTCGGACTGCTTATCCCTTTGAGAGATTTGTTTTGTATTTATTCAATTCCTGTAAAAAACTGCCACCCAAGCAGTATCCCCTTACACCTGAATCCAGAGCAAATCACATGGAATTTGACTGCAGCATGGATGGTGGTGGTGGGGGAGGAAGAAAGGGGCACGGCCCAGTTAAGAAAGAAGGACAGCCAGTTTGGGAGTTGCAAGCTTATATGAATTGAGCTGCTGACTTCCTGCCAAAATGCTGGCTCAACTGCCCTACGCTTTCCATCACTGGTGTCACTCACTCCTGACAGCAACCTGAAGCTGTGGAGAGGGGGAGGAGGAAATGCCATTATTTTGTCTCTGCTTTCCTTGCATTTTCAATGCAATGTGCCAGGTTAAATCCACCCTTAATAGCTCAGATGATTTACAGGGACATCATCTATAATTTATGCCAGTTAAAGACTTGTTCATTTGAGAGGTTCCTAATCTGATGTGGCCTGCAAACTTTTGGACCACCTAGGGTCTGTCATCATGGCAAAACGTATAGTATTGGCTGCATATCTTATAGAAAACACACCGTCAGCTTGAAATAAATTCCTCTGAAGTCAATGGAATGACTCCTATTGAGTTCAATAGGTTTCACATCACACTTTAGGTGAATTTTAGTATTATTGCTGGACTAACTGCCTGGAGAATGAGTTTTTCTGTTTACGCCCCTGCAAACAGCTATATCAGGGCGGGGTAGTAGAAATTTATCTTGCACCACATCTTACCACTGCATCTCAAACCATCTTTGGAGGAGCCCTCAGCTACATGAAGGAGCCAGACGTTTGAATCTCTACAGTCTGTTTGGTCTTTGGCATCATTAACAGAACCTCCAACAAGGGGGCCAAACTGGTGTCATATGTAATGGTGGTTTGAGTGCATATCATTTTCTCACATGGATAGATTAATTCTGACTGCATCATGCTACAAAAACCAGATCTCACTGATTATAAATATCTTTTACAGCATGCAAACATTCTTAGGGGGAAAACAAAAACGACATCTTATAAAGTAACTCCAGATGTTCTATCTATAAAACATGCATTGTGACAGAGAAGCGAGGGTGCGTATAACTTTGTGCACTGCATAAGACGTATCTGAGAAATGATGGCTCTCTAAATTCGCTCTAGCCAGTGGAGCTCACTATCACAAGACATTGCTTAGGTCAAGAGTTTAGTGAGTTGCAAAAAAGGATAGCTATTTACAGAGATGGCACTCAAGGGATAAGCCAGTCTCTAAATTAGCCCACCAACCACTTTTCCCATGGTTTCTTGCTCTGTGGTGTGGTACAGCTCATAATGGCTCCTGGTAGAAAGAGCAGGCTAGACTGGCATTTTCTTTGGCCCTTGATGGTTGCAGTCCCTCTACAGAGGGTATGATGTAGGAGGTAAGCGAGGTATCTACTTACAGTGGACAGAAGAGAATCCAAAAAACTATCTGAGAAGATAGCTCCACTGGAAAAAGGGGTGGAGAGATGCAGCTCCTGCTCTGGGATCTGCGACCCGCTGCTTCCAGCACTCTGATCAATAAAGTGGGCATTTGACATGGATTCTGCAGGACAAAATGGCAGGGATGTGAAACAGCTTAGAAACACAGGAGTTACCACATAGGACTGGAGGAGGAAAATGATACCTCTAGCCCATAGTCCTGTCTCCCATACTGGCTGCTAACAGAAAAGAAAGGGGAAAATATGTCCAGTGCTCCTGACCTATCATGCACTGGTGCAAAAACCTTATTATCCTCATAATATAAGGGAGAGTTTTCTGAGGAACCCAAAGACCATTTCCAAAAAAAAAAAAAAAAAAAGTGTTTTAAGACTTCAGCTTCCAAGTCACTTAACATGGCTTGTAAAAGTTAAGCCACAATTTCTTTGCTTCCAAGGGTGGAGTTTCCACTGGTTAATTAAAAAGGAAATCAAAGAGCCATCTGTTTAAATAGGCTGACTTTAGTTTGTGAACACCTCACATCCACTGTTGGGTGATGGAGTACAATGAAGTACTCCGTCTTGTCTGCCCTCGCCAGCCAACAGAGTTGCAGAAGAAATCCTCATAGAAGGCAGGGTAGATTTGCACCTTACAGACTAACCGAAGTAGATGTCCTCATAGTTACAAATGACATTGCTTTAACTTTCTTTTGTGTTCAGTGAATTGTCTCCATGCATCCAGGCAGAGGGCACCTGCTGTGCTACTGAATGTACTAGGTATGTCCTAGTATTGCTGTGTTGCTAGGGAGAATGTTGATGAATGACAGCAACACAGCTGGAGAGGCACAGAATGAGCATAGGAATTAAGACTAAGAACCCATTTTTTCTGTTAAAAAAGCACATGTAACCCTTCTTTGATTAATGATTAATTTATTTCATGTCCCCCAGGGCTAAGAAACATTTGAACAGATAATCTGTAAAGCAGGTGACTAAAGCTGTCCAGGTTTGTGTTACTATTAATGGGTCCAGGTGCCCAGGTGCTCCATCCAGAAGTGGATTCTGTATGAAGACATTTCCCAAGGTAAGGTCTTGGTTCAATCAGATTCATAGCTGGTGGAAATCTACATTTCTCTATTACATGTCTCTTAAGAGTCTGCATATGAAAACCATGGATTTCCAGGAACAGGTTGAAATAATGTAACAGATTTGGGGGAGGGATTCACATTCTTCCTCTCTCCCTGGGGGAAGAGGGGCAGGCAGCATCAGGTTATTTAGCTATTTCTCTCCATGGACTCAGGAATTTCTAGCAGTCCTTATTCCAGAGGCACATCCATTCCTAATATGTCTGTGAACTACAGCAGAGCAAATCACGCACTGTGAAACGCACTGGAAATACCAGATGGACTCGTCAGCAATAAATGCAATGGCCTTTGGCCCAGCTTGCAGTGAGGTGGCTGGATTTATCTGTTCCCTTTCCTGGCTGCCACCTCCTCATCTCCCCATCACTCAGCAGTCTCTTGGGGGCCTAAAGGCAACAGCACAATTCTCCATACACTGGAAGAGCTGCCTCCCTCCCAGTAGCTATACCAACATCCAGCCCCTTTATGGATGTCTGGCGTCTGTGCTTGTTCCATTAAACCTGTGTATCTGTCTATCATGCCTCATTACCTCAAAATGTACCAGGAGATGGCATGCCCTCAGGGCCCAGGCAGCTTCGTGCTTCACTGACATATCATTCGTTATGAACACCCAGTATCTATGGCGTAGCTATGGCAGAGGGCAGTCAAGCCTGGTAGCACCAATTCAGGCCAGCTATCGTATTACTGGTGAAAATCCCGAGGAAATGGCTTGGCTGCTTCCGATACACAGGACTGGAGTCCTTGGAGAGCTCTTTTCATTATGGAGATTAGCTCCAGCAATACCTTGCTGTCTCTATGGGGGACTGGGATCCTCAGGGACTTCGTCTCACAAGAGGCTACTGAAGAACTGTGAGGAACTCCTTAGTATTCACAGATATACTGAGGAAGCTCTTAGGGGCTAAACTATTTGGAGTCCCATTATGCTAGGTACCATATAGACATATAATAAATGTCATCCCTTGCCCCACCACTAAATAATTGGTCCAAGAAAAGACCATGAATAAAGTCCTGATCAGAAATGAGCCATAGCCCTGCTCCAGCAAACCACTTATTCATGACCCAACTTCAAGCACATGAGGATTTCCCTAATTAGCCTGGGACTAAATCATATGATTAAACATAAAAGTTTTGTTAAAACAGGATCTGTGCAAAGGACTGCTAACAAGCTTTAGCCGATCAAAAGCAAGTCTCATTGGACTGTGTGCTTCCATGTCTGAAAATCTTATGGGCATCTCCTTTTCTATGCTATTGCCACATGTAGGAACAGATTCCCATCCTGTCTGAGGCTGTGGCAAGGGCAGGGAAACATGTGCCAAGAGATGGGACACACATCATTATTGTGTTGAAGATCTGATACGACTAAAATCTGAAGCCACATCAACAAACTGCAGGTGTTTTCCTCTGAACGGACACACCAGAACTATAGGGAAGCATGTCCTTGGTCCAGTGCTTGTCTCAAGAAGTTAGCTTGACTGTACATTTTTGCCTTAGCAAGGCTGGGCCACAGCAGCTGGATCAAAAATCCCTGAGATGCTGGGAGCCAAGAAAAACAAAAGCACAAGCCCTAGCACAAGAGAATATCAGAGCATGATTTTTGGAAAATTCAGGAGTCAGAGTGAACCCTTTGTTGAAGTGCTGGCACAGCAGCCATGGTTATTTTCTTCTCATTTATTGTTTACACTGTAATTGGCCTTCAGCACCCCAGAGCAGGGTGGGGTGTTGTACAAGCACAGAAAACAAAGTGATGGTCACAGAGACTGGAAGGTCTGGGAATTCGTCATGCCATAAATTTACCCTTTGGAACCATTTCCAAGTTATCGGTACTCAGAGAAATCAGGTGACAGTGATGTGGCATTTTAACACTCAAACCCATTCTCTTCATTCAATCCCTGTCCTCCCCAACAATGACCATTTAGCTTAGAGAGAATTTTGTCTGCACTATGGGTGTTTATACACGTGGTCCGGGAGTGTGTGCGCGTCTGTGTGTGTGTTGGGGGGGGCATGCTTTAATTACAGCGGCTCTGAGAGCTGCTCTAATTAAAGCACCTGGAGCATCATATGTATCAGCGTCCCCGCGCTTCAAAATAGCATGCTGATACATGAGATGATTAGTCAAGTCTGCTCTGACTTGCTGCATTCATAGCACCTCAGAGCAGCCTCACTGCTTGTGGATAGGTGCCTTAAGTGGGGACAGGATCTGCTCTTGTACAACAATAGTATTTTGGGAGGGGAGGGTGGAGAACCATTCTGAGAAGTGATTCAGAGGCCTGTTAGTAATGGGCTGCTAAAAATAAATTAATTTAAAAATGAAGCTTCACAGGTCTGCATAATCCAATAGGCCTATTGATGTACAAGGTTAACATGGGATTGACACTGGTGGAGCAACAGCTAGCCTCCTTGTTATGGGGGGTGGTGCTCTTGGGTATATGTCAACTGATTTCAGGGGGCAACCAAATTGAAAAGAGGGATGGGAGCGAGGTTACAGGTTCAAAGCAAGTGCTGCAAGGAGGGATGCACAATTAGCACAATGTGGGCCTAAATTTAACAAGGATCTCTTCAGCCTGGGAAAAAAGCTGGAAATTTCATGACAGTTGTCATGTTTTCTGCTGCTTCCTGGCATCTGCAGAGAGTTAAGATGTGAGAAGGCACTGCCAGGACCTGATGGCATGGTCAGCCAACAGGCTGTTAATCTGAGACTGTAAAGAAGGAAGGCCTGTGGCTATGGTGCTGGGCTAGACCCCAGGAGTTTTGGATTCAGTTTCTGATTCTGCCCTAGACTCTCTGTGTGATTCTGGCAAGTCATATGATCACTCTGTGTTCAGATTTCCCCTTCTACGATGCAGTAGCAGTAAAGTATCCCTGCAGCACAGGAGCACTGGAAGGAAAAGTTAATTAATATAAGTGAGGTTTGGTAATAATATATCATGGTGATGAAGAGCATCGAGGTGGGTGGAATGTTTGGCCAGTAACTTGACCTTGGGGCAGGTCTGATGAGGATGATTTTTCTGTGGAAGAAGGCACAGTTGCACTTTTGACTCCTACTCATGCCATTTCAATTAGCTCAGCTGGAGAGACTCTCTTAATAGAAATTCTGTTGTTATTTTTTTTCCAGGATTCTTCATTAAGTGCTAGTCTATATGCAGTAGCTGCCAGGGCAGAATTAATACCATGACACCCTCCCCTGCCACTTTCTGATATTTTACTCCTTGCCCCAGCTGGAACTGGGAAGCACAGAGGGACAGGGAGGGAAGAGAAACAAGAAATGTTTTAATGCTTTTCCAAATCTCAAAAGCAAGCAAAACATACCGTTTATTTAAAACATTTCAGCTGTCCCTGCTTTAATGCAGGACAATCCTCAGAGGTCATCGGACACTGTACGAGAAGGAAGGTTGTAGATCCTAGCTCAGCTATGACTATGTTCCAGGAAGTGTCCCTGGGATTGCACTGTTCATGTGGCATTTTAAAGCATCGTGTCAAACCAAATAGTGTCTGAGTGACTCAGGGTCCAGTCATAATGCCTAGCAACGTGCTACGCTAATTTGATGAGTACTTTCTTGTGTCAGCACTCTAAATGGAACTAAACATCCGTGTCCCCTGAGACCAACAGCTAAGGCATACCACTCCAGTGTGATGCTGACTTCTGTGTTACTAGTAATCAGTTAATCAGTGCACATGTTCCTAATTAATGGCTTTAGTATGTAATCACCAGGGGATGAAGACAAAAATAAAAACAGTCAAGAGTAGCATGAAAGAGCTCCATGGATTGCATTTGTTATGAATGCTGTCTAGAGTGGCTGAACAATATGGGGCAATGAGGACACAGGTCCACTGGTGACTATTGGTGTAGAAGTCACTAGTCTAAAAGTAAAATGCCTGGCACTCTTGATCTATCTATCTGGTGATGGGGTGATAGGAACACCTCCACCAGAGTGTGTGAACCCCTCACCATCATCCCAAATGATCTTGCACACAAAACAGCCCTGATGGCTAGCTCCTTGGAAGAGGGACTGTCCTCTTGTTGCATATCTGGAAAAGCCTCTGGGTGCTACTGGAATACAAATTACTAGGAGGGAAATGCGACCAGCCACCTTTTTGGGAAATCATAACTTGCCCAAACTCCCCAGGGAATTAAATGCAGATCTCCCAAGTCCCACTTCAGTGGCAAAGCCGTAAGGATGGTCTTTCACTTCTAAATGGACTCTTTAGTGGTTTGCAGCACACTGGGACCATGTCCTACTTCGTTATTTTTATTCTCCTGATAAACTATCCCAGCTCCCTCAAAGCCACTGAATTAACATCTAAGTCAAACCTTTTAGTCTCCCTTGGACATACAGCGCTTGTCACGTCACCTTCTGCCTGTGAATTCTAAAGCGGGCCCGAGTCATATAAATAATGCAGCCCGCATATTGCTTTTGCAAAATTTGTTCCCAAAGAATAACTTACTCAGCTCTGTGATGATGGGGATCCTTTTATAATATAGCACTGATTGATTCTCCAATGTTCTCACTCTGCCAACTGCCTCTGCAGAAACAGTCAATAACAACACGGAGGGAGAAGAGAGAGAGGTAAAAAGAGGGGTGGGAGGAATGGTTCAGAGACTGACAAATGCAGTAAAGCACTTACCTGAGCCTAAAATAAAGTCACTGTCATGCAAAAAAAACCCCCAAAGCATTCCCTATATGGAGAAAGTTTCTTGCCTTGGTTTGCTTTTCTAAGGTGGCATTTTATTCACTCAGAGCTTCAAAGGATTAAAAAAGAAAAGCTCTCCTGGGAGCCGCTTATTGACATCATAACTAAAATATAATTACCCTCTGTGGAGCAGCGGTGCTGGTAATAGTGTTGTTAGGCACAAAGCCCCCAATAAGCCAATTTGCACTTGGAGGGTTTTTTCTTTTCCCTTCAAGGAGACTGTAAATAAACGGATGGGACATGCACAGCAAAAGTGAAGGGGAAAGCAATGGTCTTGTGTTTTGGAGCTCAACACATCTGCCTGGAAGCTAGCGGTTTAAAAGAGACCCACTAAAGCTACCTGGAGAACATGATCCTTTTGCAATACACCAACTGGGTGACTTGTACAAGGAAATGGCTCCAGTGTCCTTGTCCCCACTGTGGCAAGCTCCAGGAGGTTCCTAAAGGTTTAATGGCTGGGGGTTATGGATGAGGGTTTGAAGGGGTGATTTCTTGGCGAAATGCATGCCTGGGAATGGGACCTGACCCACAAAGTCACTTCCAGTCCTATGTGTCTAAGATTTATGCAAGTGTTAGTGGCAGGAGGGTCAGGTTGCTTTTTTTTCCAGGACAGTTGTCAGTCATGCCTCTATTTTCTGTATTTCTCTTCCCTGATTTGAATAGGTGCTGATTCTGTTTTGCTGCCTCATGTTCTATTCACCTATATAAATACCTTGCTGCTCATCACAATAGTATCTGAGGAACTGACTACTAAAGGGAGTGCTCGTCACCCAAGATATTATGCAGGGTAAAGGCTGCAGAATCCACACGATAGTAAAAGCTCTTTGCTTGGCAAAAGGTCCTCTTCAAAGTCAGAAAGAGGATGGTGGGAAATGGATCACATCCGTAATGGATCCTGTGCAAAGCGCCTGAACAATGAAGGATGACAATGAAAGAGGGATTCACTGGTAAAATGCAATGAGTCCTTTCTCTATGCAGATCTCAGATATCCCTAGATGGGCCACTATTGTGATCCACTGTGACAACACTTCTGTTCCAAGGGTTGGGGCGATGGGATTGCTAAAAAAACCCATTTGAAATGTGGGGCGTACAAACAACAGCTCAGAAAGCTCTTCCCAGGCATATTCTGGCATCTCAGAGCATCTGCCGAGGAGATTGACAGAATGCCTGAAAATGAATTATTGTCTTTATTCTGCCTTTCCCTGTACTGCAGTGGCTGATTTGAATGTCTGTCAGATCATTGCCTGGATACATTTTCCTTATGTCAATATTTTTGCTACAAAACAGTACACAGCACCGTACCTGAAATCTTACACACTGGCAGGGTGCTATTACAAAAGATTACTTAATTGTAGATTACTACTGTACATTTGAATTTCAGTAGCATATTAAGTTGTCAGACTTAATTACCGTTATATGTTTAGATTATGCCACAGATTATTTAGTTCAGTACCTAGGTTTGCCAACCTGTTTGCTCTGTGACATGACAGGGTGATAATTACAGCATTACTGGAAAACCTAAAATTTTCCATGGGAAATACTAGAAGTCCTTGGCATTGATGCTGACCCTAGTAAATGCTCATTCTTGTGGGTGTAAGTAATGTTTACCTCTGTGTGGGTCTGTTTTTCTCAAAGCTTTCTAATTCAGTACCCCTTGGGACAGGTAATGTGTGGAAGGAGTCTGGTAGGTTTGGATGGAAACTATATGAAATGCTCATAATGAAATCCCAAACTACAAGAAACGTGACCGATTCAGCTCTCGTTACAACTTCCAAATTCAGACCACGGTTGCTGCAACATTCAGCAGAGTTTCTGGGCCGTTTGGGGAAACCTAGGTCACATCAAAATAAAGATAAATGCATATGCTTTCCCGATGCTATGAATATGGAAAGACTAGCTTTCTCTACAGCTTCAAAAGTTTAGTAGTAGGACAAGGGATCCACAGGGTGGCTGAACATCAAGTCGGGTCACTGACTGGCCCATCTGGACTGGCAAATGCTGCACAAAGTTGAACGAGCTTTAACTATCTTTTCCTTTTCAATCACACTTATGTCTTAACAACCTTGATAAGTAGGTTTTTTTAAATGTTCCCCTTATGCACGAGTAGCTTTCAGGATGTTAAGCTGCAGGAAGCCTTTCAAAATCTATACTCTCTCCTATTGTCCCAGCTCAACAGTTCCTGCCAATCAGTCTTTTCCTACTCTTGCTCTCTAATATGTATCTGCATCATAGTAGGGAAAAAAATCTCTCTCAGTTATAGTTACCTGGATAGGAACCTCTAAAAGGTCTTGCACTTGAGGAAGGCTGCTATCCTAGTTTTTACAAGTAGAATAATTTGGGCTGCTTATAACATCTCATAGAATTGATTCAGTTTTTGTTATCATTGGTATTGTCTGTATGCCTCTTCCTAGACCCTATAAGCAGCTAAGCACTATCTGTACTAGGAAGAAGGAAGAAAGGGTTCAACTTGTGTAGCTGCACTAGTACAAGCCCAGACTGTCAATGGACTGCTCCAGTGTAAGACAAGACTTTTGTTGGTGCAATTTTCTCCAATAAGATGCCATACCAGGTTTCAGCATTACGAAGTGATTTGCATTAGGACAGAAAAAGCAAAAGCTCTTACAGGACAACAGCAGATGCGCTGGCTCCCCACCCCAGTAAATATGCCAATGGCTGCCCATATCACCTCCAGTCCTCCTAAGCCTTCCTGAAGAGAGAAACAAATGATGGGCGATATTTGGGGTTTGTAGCTACACAAGCAGAGATATAGCTATGCTAATACAATTTCCCCTAGGCTAGGCAAACACATAGGAAGAGGAGTGTACCTACCAAGGTCTAGCCAGGCTGGGGTTGTAGGGCTGGCCATGACACCCCTTGGGGACCACGCAACACTTGCCTTGCTCCAGCAATACAGTGCCTTCCCCTTCTCACTCATCTGCCATATGCCTTGATGCATGTGTTTGATTGAAAGGGGGGCTGTCTAAGGGTCCTGGAGCGACCCCCATTCTTCTAGCCACCAGCAGGTCCCTCCTGGACCCTGCTGGTCTGTTCTGCACCTCAGGCTAAGTGGGTCCTTTTGACTTGGCTCTGCACCCCGGAGGGCACCTGCAACCTTACTGGCTATTACATGGGCTCTGTCCTCTCCAGTACCCATGGCCATGCCTCTCAGAGTTACTGTACAATAAACTCCTGCCTCTGTCTTCTCAGCCTCTGCCCCTTTCCTCTGGCTGCAAGCCTCCAGGTCTGGCTCATAGATTTGGATCCAGCTATCAGCCCTGACAGTCATTAGTATCTCTGGGCCCCTGGCCCTGATCTTGCCCTTCTCTGGGCGCTGAACCCCCGGGCCCCGGTTCCACCCTTCTTGGACTGACCCCCTGGTCCTTCCTGGGACGCTAGGCCCCTGGCCCTGGTTCTCACCTCTCTAGGCTGTGAGCCCCTGGCCCCAGTCCTATCCTTCTCAAGCTGGACCTCTTGGACTGGTCTGGCTTTCACCCTTGTTAGGCTTCAGCCACTTTCTCCTAGCTTCAGTGCTCTGGCTAAGCCTGTTCTGTGCCTTGATCCCCTAGCAGGGCTCAAAAAATTCCCGTGCCCCAGGCACTATCGGGACATCTGTCTTCCCCCAATAGTTCCAAACCCAAACCAAACTAAAACCAAAATTAAAACTAAAAGCAAAAACTTAAGCACTCTGGCTATAACTAAACCTCTAGCCTCCTGGCTATATACCAAAACTCCTACCCAGCCATGAGCCTTAGTCCACCGCTAGCCCTCAGCCCCTTCACTTGCTGTCTTCAAGCATAGCATGCTCACAGCCCCTCTCTCAGCAACAGGCATCCCTCCTTAAACTCCAAAACCAGACTGACTGCCGTAGCCGTGGCCCTGATCTCTCCCAGACCCTGCCCCTTTCCAGTAGGGCAACTCCACAGGGCTGACCAGTGGTGCCCTGTAATTAGGCTTACCAACTGGTCTCCATAGCAGCCTACCTGTAGCAGTGCCTTTTCTCCCCCACAGGACTCCAGCCTACAGTCCTACTGCAGAGCAGCTAGCACTGCCATAGGCTTCCTACTGCTCACGTGGGCATTGTCCTATTGTCAGCACCTTACTTCCCCGGGCCAGCTTGCCTGCAGTTTCTCCCTTGCAGTCTTCCCCCACCTGGGTCTCTCCCTGGGCTCTTTCTCCCGTAAAGTAAGAGAGAGCCTTGGTTTTGCATAGGTCTCGTCTCTATTATATTGCTTCTACCTACTTCTTGACGGATCATCCCCTAAGGGGATAGACAAGTGATCCCTTTTGTATCTGGACCAGCTGTTCACCTCAGCAGGTCCCTTAGCTGCTGGCAGGTATCAGTTTTCACCTGGAAGTAGTCCCATCCACTGGAATCACCCGAGACAACCTTAGTAGGGGGGGCATGACATAACATTAGTGCAGGAAGAGACTTGAACCCTTCCAGTGCTGTAGTCCATGCTCCCACTGGAAGAGTGCCAGTAGAGAAAGACCAGATGAATCAAAACCTGTACTTGATGTCAGATTTGCAAAAGTAGGCAAATGGATGCCTAATGGGCTTGTAAACATTCCTAAGCAGCTTGGCTACCAAACTCCCATTGAAATGAATGAGGATTAGGCATCTAACTTGCTTTGCACGTTGTGAAAATACCATTAAGTGTTCAGTCTTTAGGTGCCTAGAAACCTTTGAAAATCTGGTCCTTAGGTAGTCCTGTAGACAGCACTAAGGTATTCATAGGAACAGGAGTTTCTAACTGAGGACAGCTGGCCATTTTGGTTTCTCTGCATATGGTTACAGAAAAAAAAAAATCAAAAGAAGAAAAAGTTACAAACACCTTTCAACAGTGTTGCCTGCCTTTAGCCACAGAAGCCTTTTATGAGTCATGACTTTTTTTTAGATGGACTTCTGTAAAATAATCAAGAGGGCTCTAGTGGTCAAAGCAGCATGGAGCCTAGTTCCCCTCTTATCACCTTCATCCATAACCTAGGGGCTAACCATGTCACTTCTCCATTCCCTAACACCATCTGCAAAAGAGCGTAATAGTCATTTCCTACCTCCCTGGGGCCCCTGGCTGTAAAATCCCTTGAGAACTTCACAGGATAGTTTCCACAAGTGAGTAAATATGGCCTCAGTCTTGCAACTCAATCCATAGGGACCACCTGCTACATGAAATCTTGGCCTTATGCATCTAAATAATTACAGCAGCAAGGAAGAAAATTGGCTGGGTATTTTAACAATACATCTAATGATCCTAGAAAGGAAAGATAGCTAATTTTTACACAGCAAGTGAATCACTAACAGATTTAATGGCTGGTTTGGGGAGAAAAAGAAGCTAGCTAGTGTCTTAGGCTTATTTCGTAAATGCATCTTCATTTATTGATGATAATATCCTGTAAGTGAATACTGCATTTCTGTCTCCAGAAAACACTGTAAATCTGAGGAATGGCCTTAATTGAGTAGCCAAAGATTTATTATATTGGGATTGTAGTCACTTTACAGATCCAGAACTCAGTAAAAATAGAGTTAGACAATAGGTGCCTTGTAAATATCTAAGAGTGAGATATGTAAAATAGATACAAATTGGGTTTTGGTTTGGGAGTACAGCAGTCAGGCAGAAAGTCAATGCCGTTCGAGTACACGGTGACGGAATCGCTCTCCTCTTATTTAAATCACTTCTAGGAATAACCAATCAAAGTAACAGGCAATAACAACAAGAATAGCTTACATTTCCATAGTACCCATCATTGAAAGATCTGGAAGCAAAAGGCAGTCTTTAACCGATTTGGCTTCATAATCAGCCTGACAGATAATGGTTATTACGAAGTTATACACTGGGAGACAGAATGGCCATGGTTACTGCCCAAAGGTACAAAAAGGCTTAGACCTAAATTCTAAGACCCCCCAGCTCAATCCCTCTGCCTCTTCCCCAAATGCAGGGATCAAACCCCGGAGCCCTGATTCTCCATGCCTGGCTCTTAACTGCCGGACCATCCTTTCCCACCCCCCTCTCTGAAGCCTGAACTAAATCCAATGAGTCATGGCTTCTAATCAGCCCTACTTTAACCAGTAGACAAGCTTCTTTCAGAGCAGAAATAGAACTGAGATCTTTGTCCTTCACTTCTCTGCTCTAGTAACTGCACTGCACCACTTCCTTTTAGTATTGGAGGCTGGGGCAGTGATCCATTTCTTCTTGATGTTCTTCACGATGGGCTTGTTGCTCTCATTCTGGGACAGAGCCTTCACTGAGCATTTCCACTGCCTGTGAATAAAATTTTACCCTGTCCCTCTTGGTCACTTTCTTGGGTGATGCGTGTGTTGCCACATACCCCATTTCTGACACGTTATCTCATCGTTTGTCCATCTCTCAAGGAAATTCATGGAAAAAATGTGCATTTAAGAAAGGACAGACCAAGACCGGGAAAAAGAAAATCTGGTCCATTCCTAGTTCTGCCCATGACATGCTGTGCAACCACTGACAAGTCACTCAACCTCTCTGGGTACATCTACAAGATTCAACGTCAGAGCATGCGCCAACTCTGAATAGCCTGGTATGTCCACACAGAAAAGTGCAGTGCTATGCAGACATAAGGCCCTGGGACAAATATAGATACACTTGCATGGCTTTTTCAGCTAATTAGCTCCTGGGAAGCAGAACTACAACGCCTTGACAGAATACTGCACCAATATATCTATTCTGCTTCTAGTTCAAGATAAAGTTGTGCCTCAGTTTACCCAGGTGCAAGACACTGATAAAATCCACATGCCAGGGAGAAGTCATTAATATTTCTTAAGGGTTCTGAGATTGTTCTGATGAAAGGAACTAGAGATAACAGGTCAGACTGTATCTTGAATCTGCCCTGTTGGAGTAGGATGGGAGAAGATTGGTCACTTCCTTTTCCATTTCCTCTGCTGATGCTGCCCGGAAGGACTCTTATCACAAATCTGAGTGACACCTGCAAAAACGTGAAGATGATCCAAGTACTGATGGATAGGAAAGAATAATCTTTCTCTTGTAGATCTGTGAATGACTCCATCTGTCTCCATACGCATGTATAAAAATCTATGTACAGCATCTATGTTTGTCATTACAGATGAAAATATACGGATAATATACACATACATTATCTATATCCATCTCCGCTGACCCAAGATCAATATGTAGATCTACATCTATATATCTTTATATACATGTATAATAGATAAATCAATGAGAGCATTCTACTATTTCCATTCCATGAACCCCTTCCTTCAATATTCCTGACTATTCACTTCTTACCTCTTTTATAATCCAATATTGATATTATTCTGTCATATTATTTTTAAAAATCTTGTCTCTGCCTTACTCTAATCTTTTCTTCGGCATAGCCATTGTTTTAAAAGCCTTGTGAATGATAATAAAGTATGGGCAAAACACTTAGGAGAGCCATCTATTTCTCAGCCCGTGTTCAGTTAATTAATACTTTTCCATTCCCGAGAGGAGGACAAATCTTGGCTCCTTTGCCAAATTAAGGGAGCAAGAGATGCAATAAATATTCTGCTGGACCAGAGTTGTTTTGCTTCTGTGGCAATTCTGTGCTACAACCTCTGCGTAGCTGGAAGTAGCAGTGCCCACCCTCCCAACCCTTACGGGCAAACATAAAAAATTATTTTTAGTGTTGAAGGTTACAGAGGGTGCAATACAGCTGCCATTGAATGCTACCCTTTAGTTTGCAAACAAAACTGGTGTTAGTGAAGCTTCTTCAGCAGTAATAATGAAAGCCCCCACTGCCCCCATCCCACAGTGGCAGAAGCCCCAAGTGTTGCACAGAGTTTACAGGAGCTACTGGTATATTTACTTTTGGGAGGGACAGAGCAAGGACCAGAATAGTGATGAATGATGGGGCAATGTCCAGAGGTCAGAAAACAGTGGGAAGAGAAAGCAAGTGAGAGGGAGAGAGGGCACCGCCTAGTCTGCATGATATTTTTCAAATGGCCTCAGCTGTGCGTCTCTTTAGTGTAGTCCAGTCACTTTAGGACTCCTAGATCAACCGTGTCCTATCTCACCGGTTAGATGAATGCCAGTCTGAACTACAATCATCATGGATGAGGCAGGGGAATATTTTAGCCATTCATTCAAAACCTAAGGCTATTTCTGGTTTGTTCTCTACAAAGTTTTAACCAGAAATAAACTAAATTTTTCCTCTCCCAATGCTGCTGCTACAGAGACGAATCTGAAGTCATTTTAAATTTCCCATGCTTTATCACACCAAGAGACTCATCTACATAACTAAGAAGCTTTTACCTTCAGAGACTGTGCTGCACTTAAACTGCATGGCTCGAATGTTAAGTGTGGCCAGGATGCTTTCTGTGTCCACCAGGATTGGACTACTAGATGACTTGGAGCTATAGGACAGGATAGCACACATGGCGCAGTGCCTTATGTTAACAGACTTCAGGTCAGCACAGGAAAGAGCACTACCCTGGAAAAGAGTACAGGTTAGCTTACTAGGGGTAGGAGAGTCCAAGCAGAGTGAATGACAGGGCTCTCAAGTCTGGCTTCAGAGGAACAAACATTTTGGAAACATCTCCTAAGTTTCTTTAATCAATTTAAAGTTGAGAAGCAGAGAAGAGGAAAAAAAAACCCCAAGCTTTGAACTTCTCTTGCAAAATTTATGGTGAGAGAGCAGTCTCTTGACACAACTGCAGGAAACCAAAGCATGCAGATGTGCCTCCGAATGAAACCAAACTTTGGAGAAATTAATTTGGGGGCTGAGAATCAAGATCAAAGCAAAGAACCAATTCAGTCTCTGCTGAAGAATGGATTCATCCATCCCTGATCAGAATACAGGAGTTGCAGAAGGGATCTCCCCCGGAGGAAACAAATCCCCATCCACATACTAACATTCCACAGTGCTGCTCATTGTTAAACATATTCAGGTTTAAAAATGGTGTGTGTAAAAGGAGTGAAAGAGGGAAACGATTGAAGAGAAAAATTCCTACCTGGTACAACCACAGCTTTGGGAAATTCTGGATAAATCCCCATTCTCTTTTCAGGTACTCCAGAGACCCGACAAAGACGATGTCTCTCAGCTCCTCGTAAGTGAAGTTGCTAGCTCGTAAAGGCATCACAAAGTCCCGCAAACCAATGAGTGTTGTGTTGGCATCCCCAAAGACACATACCACAATATGATCATGCAGGTCTGAGGTGGCTTCTTTCTTTGGATTCTAAATTAAAGCAGAACAGGTTGGGTTTGTTTGTTTTTTTTTAATGTTAGGGAGAAGTGGAACATTTCCCTAATGTGTAACATCCCTGGGCTAGAATTAAACTGTCTATTAAATGAAGCCACTGGAATCCAAACTCATTCCATTTAAGTGCCGATGTCTCAAACACTGCCTGGCAGAGTAGTGGTTCAACTCCCAGAAGCATTTTCCAAACTCTTCAATCACCTGACACGTACAAAGCAACCACCAGGGAGTGTTGTGTATATGAGTCTGTGAGGTGAGCCCCTGTAACAAGGTTGAGGAGATGTGCATGGACATAAGAAAGACAAGGACACATTCTTTAAGGAGTGACAGTTCACATTAGTGTTGTGGTCACAAACCCTTTCCTCCATCCCATATTGCCCTCAGCACATATGTAAGATGCGAGTTCAACTCTGTGTACGTGCAGCAAATGTTATGAAGCTTGCAACTTCTGTTCAGCAAACAGAAAGTGATTGCTTTCAACAAGTGAGCATTTCCCACGTGCAGAACTGAATCTGTTCCTCTTTGAGGCCTAGACTGAACCTCTGGATTTTAAAGACAGAGAGATGGTGGATTTAAATCTCTGATCATCTTGTTCTAAAGCACAGTGAAGTGTTGCCAACATGGAGCATAACCCAGCTGAACATCTCTGATTACTCCAGAAGAGGGCAATGAGGCACTTGCATGCTAATCAATTTGCTATTTGCATTGGTTCATATTTACTCAATAGTATACTTTTTCTTGTTTTCAGCACTGGGGCCTACTGAGCTGGGCAAGGCACAAATGCACAAGGAAACAGAGTTAGTCATTGACTCAAGGACTATGCTGTCTAATTTAAATTGCAAGGAGCAGGAGAAAGGCAGAGCATGTGGCAGGCCAGTAGGGAGTGCTCCTGTGCTGAGCCACCCACCTCACTGAACCCGACCACCTTCCAGGCTCCGAGTGCCTCCCCTGGGGGTGCCTCAGGTCTAGTCGACCCCCTTCCTGGAGCACACCCGCTAGCCTGGGGGTAATGCCACCACCACCCAGCATCTGGAGTGATCCCAGCTCTGAGGCCCCTGGGAAACACAGACCTAGTAGCCCCTGAGGGCACTCGACCCACTTTAAGAACTTGGGGTGCTTCCTTCAGCCTGAAGCACAAATAGTGGTCTCCCTTAGTCAGCCAAATCAAGGGGACCCCAAGGCATTATCTAGACCCACTCCCAACAAGTCTCCCACGTTAGGTACAAAGAAGAACTTTATTGCTTACAAGGAGTAGGTTTGGAATAGGGTACAGGGTAGAGCAATATCAAAGAAATCCCATGGAGCAAACAGCGTGGCTGGGTAGGCTTTGATCACGCATCTGAGTTACTGTAAGCTATAGATCTAGTTAGATCTCAGGTAGCTTACTCATGAGTATCATCCAGCAGCAGGTGGAGGTTCCCTCTGGAGGCAGGCAGTTCATTGATCATGAGTTTCAAGAGAGCAAGTTTCAGATGGTCCAGCTTCTCTCTCTGAGTTTTTTTCATCATGGCTACTGCCACTCCTCCTGGGCAGTCCTTAACTTCTGTAGACCTTATCACCTCATTTACCTGGTCCAATGGAGACCAGCACCTGTTGGCTGCCAGCCAACCTATTTGAAAGGCATCACTGGTTGCTGGGTAGACTGGCTGAGTGGCCCCATCAGGTTGGCATTGCTTAGAACAATAGGGAACATAAGCCCCTCACCCAGGTATGTGATGCCAGTCATGTAGGCAGAGGGAGCAGGTTTCCCTCCTCCCTCAGGAACATATCCAACTCAGGTTACCTAAAGAAATGGGATGTCTGCCCTCTGCAGGGACCATGTTAACCAAATTGTCACAGAGTAGACTTTTTGGGGAGAGAGAGAGCAATCATGCTATGGAATTTTTCTTCTTTTCTGACCCAAGGCAGACGTTGATTTTGCATTTCTGGGCGTGTGATGTCATGTTTCCTTGCGACATAAAGGACAATTACCTGCTTCATCCCACCTGCGTGGCAAGATGCTCTGTAATAAAATGTTACTTAAGGAGACTTACATGATTGGTATGTGGCTTTGGTTCACATTAGCCAATCAGTGAAAAGTACATGGTGTGCGTACACATTAGCCAATCAAGAACTGTCAAATTAGTAAGTCCTTGCAATATTCTTTCCCCAACGGATTTTCTTCCAAGAGAAACAAAAGCCTGTCAGGGAAACTATCCTGATGAGAGATTAGAATCATAACCAAATTAAATGATCCTCTCTAACTAATTAGATTAGTTTAAATTGAATAATGAAACCTTTAGCTGTATTTAATGTAACAGGCCTTAAGTCCAGCAAGTAGTCTGCTGGATGGAACTAAACAATTAAAAACACAATCTATTTTATAGTGTTTTTATTGGAACAATTGGAAAAATGATTACTGCTAGAACCTGCAGATGGCAACATAGAATTGCTAGATTGCTAATAATAAGTGAGCAGCAGGGAAAAGGTGAACCATTTTGGAGAAACTAAGTGTTGACTTGAATCAATAGAGCTAAGACCTGGAACATTTGGCATTTTTCATTTTTTCTTTCTTTTTGTAACACTATGTTCTTGACCAAGACAGGAAGCTGCAATACCAGGAAGGAAGCTATTCTTACAATGGCAGTCCACCTCTGTGTAGAGCACCAAGAAAGGACCTAGATACTGCTTAACTTTCGCTTGAGCCCTCACAACAGTAGAGCATAGATCTGCTGCTAACCCTCTGCACAGAGATGAATTTCACCCAAAGTCTAGAAGCTGTATTTGAATCTGACTGCAGCAGGACACAGATTATATGTATGTCAGGTAGAAGAGCAAAACCCTCTGGATCATATCAAATACAGCAGAATTTTCTATTTATGAGACAGGTACCATAGCATCTCTCTGGGTAGAAATTCCACATTTCAAAAGAGAAAAAGTATCTCTAGAGACATACTATTGACCCCCAGACCAGAATGGTAGCAGTGAGCTAGCAATGCTACTGGAGTTGAGAGAGGCTATGAAAGCAAGAAAACAGAGAAATAATGGGCAACTTCAATTATATGCATATAGACTGGGTCAACCTAGTATCAGGCCAGGATGCAGAGACCAAATTTCTTGAGGTTATAAAAGACTGCTTTCTGGAGCAATTAGTCCTGGACCTACAAAAGGAAAGGGCATGCTTGACCTAGTCCTAAGTAGCACACGATGTGGTGCAAAGGGTAAGCCTTACCCTCAGTGAGACTTCCCTCATTTTCCAGAGAGAAGTAGTCCAGTTAGAGGAGCCCAGAGATTACACATTTCTGCAACAGATTCACACCTCCAATAATGAATATAATCTCCCCCCCACCCCCAAAGCTAACAAGAAGTATTAAATAAGGGACAACATTTTCAAAAGTACTTCATCTAGAAATCTAAGCTCTAGTTTCAAACCCAGCTCTGGATCAGACCTAAAGGTACAAACCAAACTCCCATGTCAAAATCTCAGTATCAGTCTACATGCATCTAAATCCATTAACAATTTGCTCCTACACTTTTAATTCCAGGATTTGGGGTTCTAAATCACTTTTGAAGACACAATTTAGCCTCTTAAGCCATTTAAGGCATTGCCAGCACAGGGTGTTGTTGTAAAATAAACTGGGATACGAATTTAAAGTGCAGAAATGACTGTACCCGAATTCTTGGTGAGGACACCACTGTTACCCCCTCTTCGTGCTTTGTACAGTTTGGCTTAATCTGCTTCCAAAGTGGATTAGGCTGGATTATGCAAAAGTCCTCAATACAGATGCTGAGTAGGTAAATAGGGAGTTAGTGCACAGTTGCCATTCCAACCTATTCCCTTGTGCAGGCAAGCCCTTAAATGCTTCCAAAATGCTACCCTGAGCTGAGCTTCCAGCTCCTTGGGATATTTGCCCATTTCTAATGAGGAAGCTGTTTGGAGGTTGCTGGGTGATACTGTCCTCTTGCTTGCTCAGAAGGAAGATGCTGCATTTCAAGCTGCATGAAACCCAACCTGCTGCCTGTCTCCCAGCTGGTAGAACAGCGTGAAACCTTCTGTACTTTTGATGAGAACTTTGATCACCTCAGTGCAAGATTTGGTTGCCTCCTCTCAGCTCTATGGCAGCTCAGAGTACAGCCTGACATTCTGGGTAGGATTTTGTCCCTATAAAACTGGTAACTAAATAAACATTTCTAAATAAATAATTTATTTATTATGACTAAACTAAAACCGTTAAGTATTCCCCAACCTGATAAAATCCAAATGCAGGGAACCTTAAATTCTGTGGCTGATGCATTTTAAAAACAAAATACATGAAAAATTGGTCTCTCTCTTCCTATCTGCCAGGTTTCTCAAGTGTGATAGGTGTCCTGATCATTCTGGGTGCGTAGGACAGGCTTTACTGCAGAGATCTTCTTGTTAGATGCCTCTTAGAGATATAGTATGGGCAGCACCTTCTCCGTCTGCTCCCAGAGTACCACTAAGAGCTCAAGAGGGTAAGAAGGTGGTGAAGCCAACAATCAGTTGCCATAGCTGCCCTTGTTAACCATGAACAACTCCTCATTTAATCTTTCTGAGCATCTCATCACCATCTTGAAGACAGGTGAAAGGATACTCTCTGTGCCCGACTTCTCTATTTTGATTACATCCTCTTCAATGTAGGGACCACCTCTTACCACATCTAGGTCCAGTACCTAGCTTGATGCGTCTTGGTTGGGGCCTTCTGATAGTGTGGTCATACAAATAGCAGTGAAGGTGATGCAACCTGTATATATGTCCCCAGGTCTGGGATTGCTTTGAAACTAGATGTCTATATGGCCTTAGGAGAATAAGCATGATAAGCACACAGTGCAGGTGTGAATGTTTCCTTAGTACTCAGCGCACAATGGTTTCCAGTTCCTGAAGACAGGCAAAGCCCTTCAATTTTTACAACACAGTATCTGAAAACAGTAGTATACAGCAAAGCTGATGACATTACACTTACCAGGATGGCTTTTTCCAAAGACACAGCATGGCACCAATGAAACATTCCTGTTGAATCAAGCATGGCATCACTATTCTTGTCCCCCATGACATCTGATGCGCTAAAGAGATAGAGCAATCGATTGGCTAGGTCATGTCTGCACAGCAATGGCAGCAACAATACATCCAGCTTGAAATAATCTTGGCACTGGTTTGCAGGAAAACCTCTTTGTCCAAGTCATAGCTGTCATGTCCCACAGTGGCACATAAGATCAGACAGAGTACCTGGCATGCTGTATGGGATGTGTCTATACTCACCTGCCTCTACCAGGAGACAGCAGCTCCCAATGGCCAGACGCCAGAGCATGTACACATGCATACACTTCTGGAGGCTCTGTGCGGCTCCACTGCAGCAGCTAGGCATACAGAGCACAAAGTGCAGCCTGTGGAAGGGACCACAGCTGTCACCAGAAGGCGTGTGAATGTTTACAAGGTCCTTCTGCCGGCTGCTGGATGGTTTGTCCATGACCGAGGAGCTTTGAAGTTAGAAGCACTCACAGTTTTGCCCAGACTTGAATTCTGCTAGCAAAACTTTGTAGTGCAGGCTGAGCCATGCCATAGTCTTACTTTGTCCCTGCTAGCAGGTGGCTGCAGTGAGGATGTGGTAATACAGAGAACAAAAGTGGGGCTGTTAATACTGCACAGAACCAGAGAAATACAAGAAAAAAGTATTCTGCAAATTATTTCTTTGATTTCTTAGGTTGTTTCACTTGGATGGTGTTTGTGGTTATTTGGGGCTGATTTCCCATGACCATTCTAACCAATGGGCTCCTCAGTAGTGATGTTCTTCAACAGAGTAACCCTGGTTTAGCCTAAAAACAACTAAAAAAACCCCAACCTTTGAATCTGTAGGCTTTGGATTCAGTCTGTGTTGCAGAATATTCATAAAAAACAAATTCTGAATCTCTGCTCCTACTTCTCAGGGTTAAACTCATCCAGACACAGACCAGAAACCAGACCATATGACGGATGCTACCTCTCTAAGCTCAAACAGAATTAATAACAAAGTCTAAAGCTGTCCACCCTAGAAAAGGTTGCCTTGTTCTTTTAAATGAGCAAGTTTCCAGGTTTTATAAATGCTCACCTATCACAAGACCAACACAGACTATCAGAGCTGCAATGGGTCTATTAATGCTACTAAGCAAAGCAGCAATGACTAGTGTTCCCTAAGTAGGTCTTCAGCCTTCTCTGTGATGCACTCCAGACATTAAAACACGTGCTGGGCTTACTTTTAATCAGAAATCAGGCAAAACAGCAGTGCCCTTACCCTGCCCTTCCACCACTAGTCCAAGGTTAAGGAACACAGGACTTGACAGACTAGGTCAGATAACCCATGAAATCTGACTGCCATGGCAGCTGTCTCTTACAGACTGGCTTAAACATCGAGGCACAACATTTTATGTCCCTACCAAAATTTGTTAATCGCGGTTTCCTGTGATTTCAGACACTCTTGCTAGCCCTTTCAATTCCCACTCCTTCGCAGAATCCTGCGGGTTTTGGTCTCCATCGCATCCAGTGGCTGCGAGTTCTGCAGACTAATTGCATTTTGCATGAGAAAGAATTCCCTTTAACCACTGTAAAATAGTCCACCCTTCAGTGTAATTGGGTTTCTCTTTGTCTCAGACACTAAACTGCCTCTCTAGACTGTAGTGTCCACAGTAATTGATATATAGAGAGGAATAAATGAACCTGTGCCCTTTTAAATCTCTCCCATTTATCCAGGCAGCCTGATGCCAAATGTAGATGGGTTGTGTCCATTAACTATGTGACTCCTCCCCAGCACTCAAGGCCTCCTCCTTCCTGCCCAGATAATGAATCTCAGCCAGTGATTAAATGGTATGTTGGCAAGTTGGAGATGATCTTCTCAGAAGCTCTTTTAACTTGACTCAGCTCTACAAATCAATCAGTGTATACTTCCCTATCATAATAAAACTACCATCTATATACGCCAGCTGTCATGAATGCCATCTCTCTTCATTCTAATATTATAGGAATATATATATGCCTTACAGGAAACACCTGCGAGTCCTAAAATGAAAAAAAGGACTGTGAGAAACTCACTTCATCATAAAAGCATCCACCTGATGTCCTTGCCAAGGCAAAGCAGGGTCTGATTTAGCTCACTGTTCTTTAACTGAGGTTTTGTTCTGCAATACGTTCTGAAAATGACACGATCCTTACAGAAATCCTCTTCCCTTGGGAAAGTAATAGATCACTTCTCACCCAAAATTTGGGTGCTTTAAAGTAGGAAATGGTACATTTGTGGTGCACAGACATATCAGGTCTACCTATCAAAACAGTCCTTGGCCACACTTTACGGAGATTGTCAGTCACAACTTAGGCCAAGATCGTCAAAAGAATGGCCACCCTGGATGCTGAGCTGTTTTGAAAAATCAGGCATTAAATGCCTGAAAAAGAACTGCTGGGTACTTAGCACTTCTGAAAAGTTAATTTTGGAAAGGGAACTTTTTGAAAGCCCAGCCCCAAATATAGCTGAAAGTTTGAAAATTTGGCTTCATAGACGTGAGCATGCAACTCACTGGTGCAAAGGAGGAAGAAGGGCCCTTTGTGCCCAAAAGCCTAATAGCCTTCCCAATTATACAGTTAGTCCGATAAAGATATCTAAGCACCAACCCCCCCCCCCCCCCCCCCAAAAAAAAAGCAAACAAAAACAAAAAAACCCTTGCTTCCCCCACTGGTAGTGTCCCTTTTATTTCCAACTAACAGAATCAATTATAGCTGCCACTACAAGCCTTGGTCCTCTTGTTTAACTGTAGAGATGCTCATGAGTTTACCTGTAAATGGTCCCTGTTTAAACTAATTTGTTGACCAAGATGACAGCAATCACAGGTATGCTAGAGTGGAAATGACAGAGAACTATGCCATGATAGTGAAATTAATTTTTTTTTGGCATAAGCTCACAGTCATAATGTAACATAAACCCATCAGTCCTGTCTTATTGAATTGTGGGTAGGTATCATAGCTCTGAGCTACGCTAGAAGACAGTTAGACAGATCCATAAGGTTTCAAACTTTGTATGCGGACTAGGAGTGATTAACAGTTGTCTATAGCATTACAAGACAGGAGCAGAAGCCCTTTTATCATATCTTCAGCTGCCAACAA